ATGAGCGAGTCATCGCGCCGTTGCTTCTTATTCTTTCTTTTGGTGGAACGGTTGGAGGCGCCTTCATCGGCGCCCTCGTCCCACCTCGCCTTACCGTCGGAAGGGTTGAAGATTGCTCCGACCACCTCCTCTCCTGAGGCGTGGCTGGTGGCGATGTCTAGGAGCTCCTTAGTGGTTCGCGGGCCCTTGTGTCCTAGCTTATGAACCAAAGACTCACAGGTGGTCCCGGATAGGAAGGCTCCTATCACGTCGGCATCGGCAATGTTAGGGAGCTCGTTGCACTGTCGGGAGAAGCACCGGATATACCCGCAGAGGGTTTCGTCGGCCTTCTAGCGACAGTTCTTGAGGTCCTATGGGTTCCCAGGGCGCTTGTATGTGCCCTAGAAGTTCCCCACAAAGATTTCCCTCAGATCCGCCCAACTCTGAATGACGTTGAACGGTAGGTGCTCCAACCACGCTCGTGCCGAATCGGCCAAGAATAGTAGGAGATTGCGAATAATGAAATCGTCATCATTCGCGCCACCGGCTTGGCAGGCAAGCCGATAGTCTTCAAGCCAAAGCCCGGGGTTTTTCTCCCTGGAATATTTAGGGATGTTGGTTGGCGGTCGGTACCTTGGTGGGAAAGCAGCGTTGAGGATGTGCCGCCCGAAGGCTTGAGGGCCTGGCAGGCCGGGGCTCGGGCTCCGGTCCTCGCCGCTGTCATAGCGTCCGCCATGTCGAGGATGATAGCCGCGGCGGGCTCCTTCCCTTGGGTCACCACAGGTGCGCCTATGGGCGTCGATGGTGCTACGCGCGTCGCAGTTGTGGCCGAGACATTGATGTATTCGGATAGCGGTGTGCTGCCTGCCGCCTGGCGGCGTCTGGTGAACCGACGCATCCTTGGCGGGGCACACTGAGGGCGTGCGCTGGCTGGTGTCGAGCTCGTGTTGCCGAGACAATGAGCTTTCCACCTGCTACACTGCCGCACGCTCGAGCAACGTGCGAATTTCTTTGTGGGCCCGGTGATCCTCGGACGTCGTGGCCTCTAGAAAGCCATGAAGCAAGGCCGTCGTAGCGGCGATGTTCTGGCTTGCTCGAGCGAAGTGAGGGAGGGTCCCGTCATTGGTGAGGATCCTTTGGTGTACATCATGGGCCGTGGCGCGTGCGCGCCCACTGCTTCCGCGGCGTTCGGTCTCGCGATTGATCTCCGCGTACTCCCGCATGAGCCCTTGTCCAGCCTCGTCGATTTCTAGCTTCCGGGCTCTCAGCTGCTCCATCCTTAGGCGAGATGGGGCCGCTGCCTCCCCTCCGGTCCTGCCGTTAGGGTTGCCTATCAGGGTAGCCTCCTCCCCAGAGACGCTTTCGACATGCCCCTCGGGGGTTTCCGCCGTGAAGCATCCCCAGGAAGGGTGATGGCTCCCCTGCTGGAGTCAGAGCTAGAAGATGATCCTAACTCCTCCATGAGGAGCTTGTGGAGAGACTCTGGGTCGTGTTCAATTACCCCCATGAACTCAATGTCCACGGGTGGCTGAACCATGCGTAGTGCCACTAGATGGCCAGCGATCGCCGCGGCGTTGCGGAGACCGAACGGAAATGCTGTCGGGGCGCTCCGCACGTGGCGTTCCAGACAGAGGAGCCCCTCTCCGGAAGGCCATGCCATGTCATTGTCGTCTGAAAGGGTGAGGCGACGCTGGTTCTCCCTGGACTGCTGGGGTCTAAGGGAGACACCGAGCTGCCGCCCAAGCCTCTCATGGTCGAGGCCGATGGAGGGGAGAGATTGGATGGCGGTGTGCGCCCGTACCAACTCTCCTCCCACCGTGATGACGAAATCTAGGCTCCCAAAGCGCACATGTGCGCCTGGGACCTAGCTGACATTGTGGTTAGCCATCCGTGGTCTGGTTTGGAACGCGCAAAGGACCCTACCTGGCGCACCAACTGTCGGTGTTTCGAAGAAACACTAGCTAGTAAATTTATAATTGATGCACGTTAGGCCCGGATGGTGCGCTAAAGGACACAAGGTTTATACTGGTTTGGGATGAATGTCCCTACATCTAGTCTGTTGCTGCTTGTGTTATTAGCTCCAAAAAAGGTTCGTAGTAGGGGTACAAACGGTCGAGAGAGGGACTGGTCCTAGGTCTCTGATGGAAGGGTCGAAAGGATGCCAAGAGCCCGGTGGCGGCCTGGCTGTGTGCGTGATGTGTCGAACCAAACTCTCTATGAGTTTGTCTGTGTGTAAGTTGTTCGTCCAAAGTCGGTCCCCTCAGTGGGGAGCCCTGCCCTCCCTTTTATAGACCAAGGGGGGAGCAGGGGTTACAGATGGGAGAAAGAGGAAAATACCAAGGGTATAGAAGGTCCTTCGAAGGATCTAGGTCTTCCTTTTTTCTCGCGCCTGCCCCTGTGTAACATGGTAGGCCGTGTCAGAAGTGGTGTGTTTATTGATCTTCGTAGGCCATGCCCTGGCCTGATTTAGCAAGTGGGTGCGTCCCGTCCTGCTCCCGCGGGCGACGTGCCGGGCAGGGATGTCGCCTTCCGACCCCGTGGGGGACGGAAGGCGTGGTGACTGCTTGTTCGCCACTATAGATGCCGGGAGTCCCCCCTTAGATCATAGTGGTTGTCGTATGTCTGTGTCGGGTTCTTCGCCCGAGGGCTGAAGGCGGCGCCTACAACTCTGTAGGGTGAAGAGCACGCGCCTGCAACACTATTCAAGATCTGTCATGACTGGAAGGGTCTAAGCGCCCATCCCGTCACGCCCTGATGGTACTTTCCTGCAGGGGCACAGGGCATGGTCCTCGATGCCGTGGTTGACCCGAATGTCTTGTCTTACCCTATGCTTATCATCATGAAGGAGCGGGGTGCGGTTGTCAGATGAGGCGGAGCCAGCCCTCGGGGGTTGGTTGAGGTGGAGCCCAGCCGTCGGGGTCGGGCGAGGCGAAGTCTATACCTCGGGGGTCGGGCGAGGTGGAGTCTTGCTTTTAGCTGTCGGGCGAGGCGAAGCCTGGCCCCGGACGTCGGGTGAGGCGGACCCTGCCCTCAGCCCTCGGGCGAGGCGGACCCCGTCCTCAGCCCTCAGGCGAGGCGGACCCCGCCCTCAGCCCTCGGGCGAGGCGGAGCTGGCTCACGGGCGTCGGGCGAGGCGGAACCAAACTCCCGTCGTTCGGGCAAGAAGCGCAGTAGTGCTCTTGTCCGTCCGGGAGTTTTTAACGTTCGATGGTTATTAGTTCCACCTCCTTGGGTACCTCGGTATTAGGTCCCCGACAGCTAGCTTAGTAGCTTAGTATGCGTATTCTTATTTTAAGAATTGTTGTTGCCTAAATGCTAAGTGTTGCATCATCATCGGATGCATATAGAGAACGAGTTAGTGGAGATAGTGACCACATATGATCGTGAGTTCGAGGAGATCGTCGAGGAGTACGAGGAGAAGATTCTCGTGCAGGAGGAGGTCCCGGAGCCACCAACGACTGACTCAACTAACACCGCGCCTACCGAAGGTAAGCCCCGGTGCATAACTCTTATTTTTTATAATCACTGAATATATATATGTGATGCGCATTTATGTTACAGGAATTTTATGAAAACCACATGCATAGATATATTTGTCATATGAGTCTTACTAGTGTAGGTTCGAGTAGATGCTATGCTTAGGTTTTTAGTAGCGTGAGTAACCTGTCGTTACTCACAATAAGTGATTATTATATTTACTCTCATGATAAAAAGATGAAAGAAAAAATGGAGACGGGTATGGATATGGTATGGGTATTGGTGGGTGTGACTAGTTGTGTCCCGTGGCCACGGGGCTTAGCTTGGTTACATTATTTTTCTTGTCCGTGTCTATTGAGGACCGTCCATTGCTGTGGATGGTAGTCCGGTCACAGACTTATTATTCTGAGCACATACTTGCTTATGGGAGCGGGAAGGCTCGTTACGCTTTTGTCGTGGGTTCCGGCTCTTTCCGGACCGACTGATGGGAGACGGAAAAAGGTGAAGGTCTAAGCACCATATTAAGACTGTGTCTCAAGTGTGGGGGCTTGGAGTCCAAGTTTGGACGGAGACCTGGACCCCTTGACAGGAGTGAAATGTGCTGGTCTTGTTTGTGCCTCGGGTACAAATGGGACGTGTGTTTTGGGGTATCCTGTGTGATACATTGATTCGTGAATCGTCATTTCCGTGAGACGGTACGACTTGGCTATGGTCTAGCACCGTAGTAAGAAGTGGAAGATGAAAGATAGTAAAATGGTTCTGATTGCTCCATCCTTGCTTAAAAGTAGAACATATACTTACTTAGAATTGTTAGCTAAAGAAGTAATCATAACTGCTAATAAAACTTGATCTTAAGGATAAACTCCTAGTAATGTTTTTCGCAAATACAAAGAAAACAACAAATCCATATTGCCTATCATACTTCTTGGAGTCGGGAAACTATTCCCACTAGTCAGATAAGTCTTGCGAGTACATTGTGTCTTCAGGGTTTATTTTACTCCTGTTGCAGGTGCGGCTTGAGGAGTAGCTCTTGTATGGAGGATTCTTCTGTTGGGCACAGACGGTATTATTTCCGTTCGATGTTTATTTTTATTCCGCTGTTTCATTATCGCACTCTGAACTCTGATATTGTAATAAATAATTTACAAGAATTCTTGTTGTATGAAATAGAGTACGTATTATAAACTCGTACTCATTATCGGATTTTGGAGATAAAACATGGATTGATTCGAGTTTTCTTATGGGGTTTGCTCGATAGAACTGTCCGATGTAGCTAACTTTTATGGTGTTTAGTGTCTAATATAGAGTTCCTCTAAGTGCGGGTTCCTTCGGACGGTTCTGCCACGTAACTGTTAAGCACATCTTAAATTGGTAGAAGACATTAGAAGATCCTGAAATGAAACTATAGAAGGGATACATTTGTTACGAACACAGACTAATGTAATATAATAAAGCTTACATTTGCACAAAGCATACAAAGGGATAGATACATCACTCTCGCTCGCAGCTCTCCGGCAGCCGAATCAATCAATCCATGGCTACAGCTAGTTGGAGTCTGGGTTGACTCCGCTCGGCACCTGATGTTTGCTCACTGCGTTCATGAATGCCGCCGAGCTGCTGCTGCTGCCGCTTCTTGCTCTTCTCTCCATGCTCCGTGGATGCGGCACCACCGTCTCCTTCACCTCCACGGACTGCGCCGCCTGCACCGTGCGCACGGGGAGATGACGCCGCCCGGCCGCCGCCGCAGGGTCGACGACGACGATGGCGTGCGCGGAACAAGAACTGAGCCGCAACGGGATCTGCAGGGCGAAGATGAGGAGAACGGCACACACAAGCTTCTGGTGCTGCCGTGCTCTTGCCAATGCCATACACGCCAATGAAGTGTGGAACATCAGGTGGGCATTAGTGCCGACTCCATGGACCGCCTCAGAGGCACCGGAAGCAGAGAAGATTGAGAGAGCTTGCTTGCTCAGGGCCCCGTGGGGAGTGAGAAGAGGAGGGCAGGGGGGGAGCTTAAAGAGGCTTTTTGTTCTTGCAAAAGCGTGAAAAGACGAAGCTGTGGAGTTTATTTTGGCCGGGCACGGGCACGGGCACAGTCACAGGTGAAGGAGAAGAGGCGTCTCAAATGCAATGGATGTAGCGGTTGCTTTCGGACGATGCAGTGCCCAGCAGTGCAGCACTGCAGCTGCAGAGATTGGTTGTTGAATAGCTTGTCTCCACCACGACCTAAAATACAGTTCACAGTTTAACAATAAAGTGCTACAATAACATATATGTTAATGATAGATTAATTAGACTTAATGAATTTGTCTCGTGGTTTACTAATTGATTCTGTAATTTATTTTTTATTACTATCTGAACACTCTATTAGGTCCCGTTCGTTGGTCTGAATCTTGTCTGAAACTGACTGAAAAATACTATTCTAACTGAATTGTTGTGAAAAAAAATACTATTCCAACTAAAAAACAAGTCGAATATGAAATAAACCGAGCTTATGCAACACTTCTGCGTAACATCCGATATGACTTAAAAAAAACTTTACATAGTCGATCTAAACAAGGCCCGAGACATGCGTTGAAGTGGCTCGCAGGCCTCCCTGAGGTTGACAGAAAGTTCACAAACTTTCGCGGCTTTTCAGAGGTGAGGTGAGTTGGCGACTTCAGCCTGTCGTTTGGCCGTTGGTTTGTCGTTCTAACTGAAACAATATTTTTCTTTTATACAAATCAGTCAGAATCTTTTCATGAACTAGCAATGATATGAACCAAAATTTCTGCAAAATACCTATACATCGTCATTCTGACTGGCACAGTAGTACAGTTTACGTACGTGCACGGTGTTTGGCCAGCAAATACAGTACTATACTACTCCTATTTCGATCGAGTAGTGGTACTGGTACATCAAGTGAACATCTGAAAATCTGGTCCATGGTCGATGCACGCAGCCTTGCAGGTTGGCAGGCTACTCCACTCAGCGACAGAGGTCGACAGGCGCTACCGGACAGATGCTTTCGTCGACATCATGACGCTGTGTTTAGTTCACGAAAACTTTTTCCAAAAAATACCACAGTAGATATCACATCAAATCTTGCGATATATATATGGAGCACTAAATGTAGATGAAAAAAAACTAATTACACAGTTTGGTTGGAAATTGTAAGACGAACGTTTTGAACCTAATTAGTCCATGATTGAACACTAATTGCCAAATAAAAACGAAAGTGCTACAGTAGCCAAATTTCCAACTTTCACCCAACTAAACACGGCCTGAATAGCCTTTCCCCACCCGGCCGCGACAATAACATTTTTACTTTTAAGGCCACTAACCCCACGCGACTCGCGACTCTAGCGCCGCCCCCCCTCTAGGCCCCTTCCTCCTCCCTCCGGTATATTATATCGCCGGAGGTCTGAGAGGATGAGAATCATCGTTTTTAATAAGTTTTTCCAACACGTCAAGTTCTTAGGGTCTGGGTCTCTCCATATCAAATTTTTTGGTTTTAGAGATTTATCTCCTCCTCATACTCTCCGACGATAACACGAGGGTATGATAAAATCATTTTCTCCATGGCAGCTCTGTTGAAGATAGAGGACGACAACTACAGTGCATACATCCTCACTAATATGATGATATGGAGACTTTTATTTTCGGACGGCGACATCAAGGCGAACATGGTGTCGCCACCATGTAATAATTTTCTCCGATCTCTTCTCCGTTTTATCGTGGTTAGATCTGGCCACAATGAAAAACTAGGGAGAATAAGTTTTAGATTAGTCTTCTTCATTTTTCGGTGGTAGAAAAAAGAAGGAAGACAGTAGAAAGAAGAAGTTTCTCAACTCCGCTTACATGAATATTGGTCGTCATTCGTTGGACATCTGTTCTCAGACTTTTTGCCGATTGTTGCGGTCATCCATACTGCAAAGCGTCGTACAAGTTTAGTTTTGATATCTGAAGATATTCACAATGTAGGTATAATTTAGATAAAAATCAATTTCTAAATATTTATATAATCCAGAATGCTTGTAACATATTAATGTACATAACTATTATCTAATATAATTCTTCCCTTGTCTGAAAAAAAAAACCCGGCCGCGACCACAACCGCTGCCGCCGGCCGATTCATGTCTCGTCTGGCATTTGTACACTCGATCGGCATTCGGCAGCGGCAGGCAGTCATCACCGAGACAAATTCGCTTCCTTCGTTTGTCAAAACAATTGCTTCCTTTCACTCTCCGACATGTGGGCCAACCCCTGTCCGCGGAGGCAGATCATCAATCCACACTTTATTTGTGTGTGAAATGGCAATGCAGAATTGGGAATGGGTCGGTGATTCACATCGACGACATGCATGCACTCCAGATTTTTTTTTAATTTTAACACTTTTTAAAAATTAATTTTAAATCTAACACCTCCGATTTTTTTTTTAAAACTAACACTTTTGGCCGCGTCTATTTTCCTGGCGTGGTCAAATGCCTGTGTCGCGCCATGCATGGCTGACGTGGCGGCGACCAGGAGCGTTGACCGCTGATGGGGCAGGGCCTGCTGCGCCAGCGATCTTGGCGCGGCAGTGCCGCGCCAGGGGTCATGGCGCGTCTGGGCCAAATAAAACCCCGCGGCCTGTCATGCCAGCCCGAGCAAGAAAGCACGCCCGCCCCGCCGCCAACCCCACGGTACTGGATTTGTTTAATCGAACGCAGCGTCGCGTCGATGGTGGGAGTTATTGTAAGTATTGTTTGACGTAAAATGAATAGTGAATTTGTTTCTATATTTTGTTAAATTTTTTCAAGGCCGAATAGAGAAATTGATAAGGCAATTGATATTTTTTCCGTCTTTCATAATACGGTTAACCACCATGTTAACTAATCAATTACGAAAAATTGGATCGGATTGAAACGAATATTTTTTAAGGGAATGGATTTGGCTTTTTGGCCCCATATTGTAGAATCGGCGGCGACACGACCATGGACCCCGGCTTCCTCGACCCCTCGCGTAAGACGCCGGCCACCGGTGTCGAGATACTCCGGGACTACCTTTTTTTGAACTAGTCGCTACTTAATCTCGCAAGCAGTGATGTCGCGAGGCATTGAAACGAATATGAAGCAAATAACATAAGTTGACAAGCTGCCACATAAGTTTGACTTAAGTTCGACATAACATAACCAAATAAGCCTGCAAAATTTGGACCCCAATAATAGTTGGACCTAACAAACTAAGACCCAGGAGTATAAGAATTCCTCGGACGTCTCTGTCTCTTCGGATTTGTTGGTAACACATTGGGAGTGTAGCCAACGTCGGTGTGGTCGCGTCGCCGGTGCGTATGGCTCGTACCCTATAAGTATGTGATATGCATGATTACTTAGAATTCTTTGTGATCGTTAGTTTATGTAGCCTATGTATTTAAAGAAACTACCTTTGTTAGTACCTGTGATGCTCCTTGGGTGCCAAGCGGGGCACCACCTAGCTGAGACATGCCGATCTCGTCCTGCGGCCAATCTTCCCACTCGTCGTCGTCGTCATCGTCGTCCTCGATTGTAGGGTCCTTCCCAGCGCTATAATGTGGTGGTGTACGCACTGCGGAAGTGGCACCTATCACCGGCTGAGAAGAGCCGGCTGGCGTCCTCAAAGAGGCTGAAGACGTACCACCCGACCGCGCTGGGAGTGGCGGTTCCTCATAAGGAGTGTCCATGCAGCTCAACTTTTGAGCTAGCTTCCTGCAGCTCTTCTTCACCTTCTGCATAAATAGCCGTTAAAGTTAGCGCATTTCACAAACGCATATACACTAAAGAAATAATTTTAGAACGGACTAGTTTATGTTTACCTCCACAAAAGCCTCGAGAACGCCTGACCCCTGCCCTCTAAACTCGTGAAGCCGGTACGCTGCTTCGTTGGATAGCCTCGACAATTGTGTCACCTGGGTTCAGAAACACGGTTGAACAGTTTTAGTATACATAATTAATACCAAATGGATAACAAATTGTACCATTCAAGTATCTTACTACGTATCTTTGTAGCGGGGCTCTCTGTAGCTGTGTGTCCTCTCTTGTGATAACGTCGTACACATCTTCGATCATATCTTTCTCTGAGTCCTCGTCAGTCGCCTCCTCAGTGTACGGGGGCTTAATATGTGTCCTCGTAGACCTGTAAAGCCAGTGCAGGTACTCGTCGAAGATGTGCTGATCGTGTGGAGGACCCGCATGGACCGCCTGCCGTTCCCTGGTCTCACACGAGTAGATGTGCGCGCTGTGTGTCACGCGCCAATCCTTAGTCTTGTACCTCTTCTTGCGGTCAAACCTGCAACAAAACGATGTTAGTTCTACCACACACACCTCTAGATTGTAGCTCTGTTATTTATTCGATAACGCACCCGTGCAATCATTGGTTGGTAGAGTAAAGCGGTGGTGGGCAGCCTGTCATTCTTCCAAACTGTCTGCAGACCCTGATGGGCAAGTGAATCTCGACCACGTGGAAGAAAATAAGAGGGACATTGCAGCGATACTCCTCTGACTCGTCTCTAGTGACAGGACTGAGATAGTTCTAGAACTCCGGAGCATCCTAAGGACACCAATACACTTGAACATTTCGTAATTGAGTTAGGCTGTGATATAGTGTAGATCGAACAAGACACATGTATGATAGTAAAAAGAGCATAACCTGGTGCTGTGTTAGGACGTCGAGACCGTCCGTATACTCCCTATACTTGCGCCTCGCATTCCCTCTAACTAACTCTGATTCCGTCCAGATAAACAGAGCAGTAGGGAGTGTATCCTGCCCGTTCCATTGCTGTATTGAACACGATAATGAATTAGCCATTAATAAACTCATCATATGTAACCATATCGAAGAATATAATGAACCCAAGTACTTACCAGTAAACCCATATTAAGGGGCCTTCCAACGGGCCATCGTTCCCAACATCAAACCTAGATTAGGTACAAGCAACCCCCAAGGTTCGCATACCCTGAGGTGCGACGACAGGCAACACATAGCTATCGATATGTCCATGCCAGGACAGCGCTGCCCCAGCTATACGCCATTATGTTCTCCCACGGCTGGCGTAGTATGTCAAGGAAGATCCAGCTGATGGTGTTGCCCAAGGTGTCTGGAAAGAGGAAAGCATCAAGAAAGTGCCAAAGCCACACTCAAGCGAACCTATCAATCTGAGCCTCCTTAGCCTGTGGGTCCAAGTAATCAAAGCGCTCCGTGATCCAGGACGATGAAACACCAGAAGTTTTCCTAAAATTTATCAAAGAAAATGAGACCCGATGGCTACAGGAAACCGATGCAAATATTAAATAGGCTTGAATTTCTCACTTATTTTTCTTGGAAGCCTCGTCGTCCGGTGGAAGAAAGCCAGTAAACTGAGCCACCAGCTCCCTCTAGTGATTGTTGTCAACTATCCATGTCACTGGAAGTCCCCCAACCGAAGGCCTAAAATAGCCTTCACGTCCTGGAACGTGTGGGTCTCAAGCCTCCACCTGTTATAAGAATAGAATAGAATGACTGTTAGTTGTCTCAAATTTATTACAAGAAAGTTTACGTACAAAGAATGCACTCGCACCTGTCTACAGCTGCAGTAAGTAGTGCAGGGTCAAGGGGCGGAAGACCGTGGTTGACAACACGAACAAGCTCGAGCAAGCCGGCACGCCGTATGTACGGCGTGTAACGCTCGTCCCACTAGTGCGCCCTGGTGTGCGTGCGGGGCCTCAAAGGAGGCAATGCCACCTCTACGTCGTTGTCACTCAAGATGTGTGCTCGGTGCTAGTCGTCGTACTCCACCTCAAGAATGGGGTACAATGGGTGCTGCGTGGGATGGGCCATCCTGTTACAAATTGATAAACAAAGCGATAGAGTACTCAAATTAACAAAATTCAAATTAACATTATATAGCATTGCAAAGTAAAATATTTTTTCTAACCCAAAATAAATCGGCACAAGGCTAGGATAAACAAGCGCGCAAAAGAGGTAAAGCCCGATGGTCATGTGCTAGGGACGTGGATAGAGGCTAGAGATCGTAGTACGACAAAGCCAACCAAGAAGCGAGGGAGCCACTTACGCTCAGCGTTACGGCCACGGCGGGATGAACCCACGATCGAAACGTTCAAATGGAATACGATCCCTCGACCGGCTCGCTACAATCCCTAACTAAATAACTAACTATAAACTAAATAATAACCGGATCTATCAGTGACAACCGAATCGCTACAATCCCTAACTAAATAAATAACTACAAGCTAAATAATAAATACCTAATCAATCACTAAACCCAAAATCCTAACCTAAAACCTAAAAACTACATACGTATATCACAAACTAATTATCCTAAAACAATAATAATCATAATAACATAAAACCGAGAGGAAGGTACCTTAGGAGCGGGCGGCCTTGACGCGCCGGGGTTCGTGGCGCGGCCGGCGCGGGTGCTGCGAGGAAGCGGGCGGGCAAGGCCGGCGGGAGTGGCCGGGCATGGCCGGCAAGGTCGCGGGCGCTGGGGCGGGCGATGGCCGGAGGCGGGGCGTGTCGGCTGGCTGGCGGCACGAACGGGTAGGGGTGCGTGTGGCCGGGGGCCCGGTCACAGGGTTTTATTCGGCCCAGACGCACCATGACCCCTGGCGCGGCACTGCCGCGCCAAGATCGCTGGCGCGGTAGGCCCTGCCCCGTCAGCGGTCCGTGTTCCTGGTCGCCGCCACGTCAGCCCTGTGCCGCGCCACCATGCATGGCGCGGCACAGGCATTTGGCCGCGCCAGGGAAATAGACGCGACAAAAAATGTTAGTTTAAAAAAAATTAAAGACGTTAGATTTAAAATTAGTTTTCAATAAGTGTTAAAATTAAAAAAAATCCCACTGCACGGGTCGGGGGCTGGCCGGGCGCGGTCCCACAAAATGCCGAACGAGCCGGCCTTCTCATATTTTCCCAACAGTACTGGAAACAGGTAAGGTCTCTGTAACTGTATTGCTGTCAGTTCAAGAAAGGCACATAGAATTCAGGAAGCCCTCATTGCGTGCATTCGGTGGTTCAGAGATGAGCCAGACCGTTCTTGATGTATCAGGTGCATGCTTCATTTTTAGTTCCCTCTAATTCTCACCTAACATTCTTTTAGATAAATCCTGTTCTCGCACTTATATAAGCACATATATTCAAGCATAGAACTCATACAATCATTCAGTGACACCGTTATGGCTTTTCTCAAGCTGTCTCTAGTGTTCTGCTCTATTCTTACTTTTCTGAGCTTGAACTGTGGTCCATCTCATGTATTTGCCAAGGTTTATATGGTGGTGATGGAGGATGACCCAGTCATTTCTTACAAAGTGAACCGCAAGCATGTAGTGTATGTGTTTTCTGCATAGGAATAAGTTGAATTATATCATCATCTCCGGGTAATACCAATTACTAAAGTATTTTATTCAGGAGAGGCGAGGAAGCTCAGAAGTACAAACGGGTGGCCACAACAAAGCATGACAGCTTCCTGGACTCATTTCTCCCAGTGGGATCTTACAAGAAACTATACAGTTACACTCACTTGATTAATGGATTTGCTCTCCATGCTGAATCTGAGAAGGTGCTTTTTCAGACTCTATAGTGCATAAAATTCCTTTTATTATTTTCTCTGTTATTTGACTATTTGGGCTGGGAAATGAGGGAACTGTTCCACAAAGCTTCTATTCTCACTTGGCAGAGTAGAATTTCCAGTACCAGGGATAACCTCTGTGTGTAGACATCAATCATGAATTCAAGATTGGAGCTGCAAGTATACATGCTAACATATAAACATAATATAAGCAGTATAGCAACTCAAGTAAATTCTGGTTATTGGCGAATATTATCAGGAGTGTGGAGTATCTTTACAGTGAATTGAGAGTCTGGTTCAGTCTGCTGCTGCCCAGCCATAGTTTCTGTCAATAACTAGATCTGCCCCACTTTGATTTTTTTTGCACAGCAGTATATGACTTATATTTTTCCTATACTCTGTATTTACAAACTGAAACCCATGAAAGACATGGAGATGTCAACCATCAAATGCAAATCCATTGCACTTATATTTTTATACTGGCTAGCTGTTTGCAAGTTTTATTGAAGAGTTGATGATGTTATTAGTGAATGTCGGTTATTTGTTTCTGTTCGAATTAATAGTTGAATATTTATATTTGTTATATGTGTAATAGTTAGTTAGAATTCTTAGTGGTGCAAAAGGAGTTAGACTTATCCAAGAAGACATCAAAATGGCCAAGATGACCACACATACACCAAGTTACATTGGAGCTAGTGCAGTCTGGCCGCTCCTGGGTGGTGCTGAGAATTCCGGTGATGGGGTGGTGATTGGCATGATTGATACCGGGATTGACCCTAAGAACCCAAGCTTTGCTATCAGTAACACGTCAAGCCAAGCGAAACCACCACCGGCTAGTTTCAAAGGAATATGTCGTACTGGGAACAGATTTCCTCCAGATTCATGCAGTGGTAAGATAGTGGGAGCTAGGTGGTTTGCACGTGCTGCCCAAGCCACTGGGGAGTTCAATGCTACAATTCACTATGAATCTCCTTATGATCCAGATGGTCATGGCAGGTTTGTCCAATTCTCTATTATATGCTGATAACTGTATTAATTCATTTTATCCTCAAAATGCATCAGCAGCTGATCATAACAGTGTCTTCACAGCCACACCGCATCGATTGCAGCTGGGAATTTCCATACGCCACTAGTATCCAGAGGCTACAACTTTGGGTATGCAAGCGGCATGGCCCCTGGAGCTCGGTGAGTTGGACTGAAAGAACAATCCTTTTGCAGCATTTCATATATTTTTTTTTGGAAGATACCATTTCAGATGTTGAAACTTGAAAGCCAAGAAGGGAAATAGTGTATACAATCTTACGATCTGTTGATTGCCCTTTCAGTCTTGCAATCTACAAAGCTGCCTATCCTTTCGGTGGATACATGTCAGATGTGATTGCTGCAGTCGACCAGGTTCTTAGATATACTCTACAGAAAGCTATTGTCGTTCAATCTGTATGCTAAACTGTGTTACTTGTATGTAGGCAGTAGAGGATGGGGTTAATGTTATAAGTCTTTCTATGGCTCCTTCTTCAGTTTCACCTGGGCCAGCATCTTTCCTCAATTTGCTTGAGGCACAACTGCTCCTTGCCACAAAGGCTGGAGTGTCAGTTGTTCAGGCCGTTGGCAATGCAGGACCCGATGCAAACACAGTCGTCTCTTTCAGCCCATGGATATTAAGTGTTGCTGCTTCAACGACAGACCGTAAGTATAGAAAATCAATCATAATTGGCAATGGGAAAGTATTTTCTTGCGGCGCCCTTTCAGGTAATTCATTTCAACCTATCTTGGCCGTTGATCTGGGGAATGGAATTTCTAGACAGCCTTACCCTTGCATAACTGTACCTGATCTTGGATAGGACAACATCATTCTATAACTAACAAATTCAAGTAGATCTAAGGATTGACCATATCACAATGTGCCTATGTTTCAATACTTCACTCGATGCCAAATTTGTTTTAACCCCTTGCCTATTTTGCCAGCTCCAACACCAGGTGAAACAATGTACCCACTAGCATGGGCTGATGATGTCATCAATGAGAATTCATCTGATGGGTCTGTCAATTGCCAAGATCCAAAGATCTTCATCAGACCTCTTGTCCAGGGAAAGGTGATTATTTGCATGTTCGACTCATCAAGCTACTATGAAGACGACCCCGACCTTGCTGGTGTCATCGCTACGATTGAGAGAATTGGAGCTGCTGGAGTCATCGTCACCGATCGTTCTTCGGGTGACATCGACATTGAACTTATCAGCTAGAATCTACAATATTTTTCTCTCACAACAAAACAGCTTTAGGCGGCTTTAATACCAGCCGAACAGGCTGAAATATCTTAAGAGTTAAGAGAATGCACTACAGCAGTGGATCGATTTGCATGTTTGGCGTCAGGCCACTTGTCTGCTAGTGCTACCTCTATGGCGAATCTACTATATTACCTTAACTAGTATTGGCCCGTGCTAACGCCACGGCTTTATTTTAAGGATGCACATTGAAATAACCAAACTACGGTGGTACTTCGTCACATAAATAGAGTACAGCAAGACAATATACATACACCATTTAGAGAATGTGTATTATACAGCTAAATTTAACAAAAAAAAACATCAGAAACATTTAGCCAGGTATAAAACATAAATTCTCAATTCTTGCTACCGTTACCAATCTGCCAATGTTTTCTTCTTACTTCAAGTGATGTCCAGACATCCCAAACATTCGACTGACCTTTTGGACCTGCAATGGCTACTCTATCAGTACTACAGATTAGTGAAAACAGAATGAAGTTCAATTAAAAACGACAAGCTTAGATAAATGAAGTGCTATGATCTTCGATAAATGCAGGGGTCAACAGAAATGTAACATATGATTTCACCACCAAGCCCCAATCAAGCCAAAAAATAAGGCAATGTCAATGTACAAATTACAATCATTAGCTGCTTGGCCGGATTCCACATGACAAGCATCCAACTCAAACTAACACAGCCTCCACCAATGCCAAATTTTCATTATTTTACAAAACATGCTGGGTGGTAAGCTAAGTGCGGAGCTGAGGCACGGCGATGAAGGGAACCCCTAGACTGGTGTTCCACGTTACTTACCTGATATTCTGTAACTCTCAGATTGATACATGTCAGATTACTTATCTGGAACTCAGTCCTGGCTGAACCATGTGTCATGATACTTATCTGAACCATATTTTAGAATTACATACTTTATAAACAGGGAGTAGCAGAAAAATAGCATAATTATGTATCGTTTATAGAAGGAGGAGAAAAATGACCACTTACCTCCAATCTTTATTTTAGCAATATGCCTGTCCTGTAAGCAAAGCCAGAGAGCATATTGTCATTATTGGCATTCTATAAGTAAAAAACATTTTAATTTGTACTACATCTGATAGGTGGATATTATGCATTAAAGAGAATCGTATAATGCCCGTGCTAACACAACGGATTTATCTTGAAGACGCACATGAAAACAACAAATATTTTTTTTCCATAGTTCAATATAATTGCAGTAGTCATGCTGCAATCTCCAATTCAGTGATTTAGTCTGTAAACCAAGTCTCCAAGGGGGAAAAAAGAAAATTCATGAGTGCTCTTGTGTCCTGCATCAGAAGCTTCACAGGATCTGATGGGGCATCATACCACACACAACCACCGGTGATCACACCAAATTCTACAGATCGTCGGAGTATATCTGCAAACAAAGACAATAGAGATGCTTCTTGCTTGGGAGTAGTAATTGAAAATAAGTGATTTTTGACACACAAAAAAAAAACAATTTGTATTTTTCTTTTCATTCCTTCGAGCTTTAAATAGAACATGTTGACCTTTGGCACTCACGCCTTTTTGGTTTTACACGGTAACACATTACACATAATTTTAAATCAAATAATTTTATTATTATTTATAAAATCACATTTTTCAAAAGTATATAAAAAAGAGAGAATGTGTGTCTATAATAAGATTACAATATCATCGTATTCTATTGTAACGAACATAATTTCATTCCTCCTCATTTTGACTCATACTCCAAAGCTCTAAAGCTGCTATACAATAGGCTACATGACATTAAAAACTCAAGTGGTATGAAGTACATAAACATTTGTAAAGTTAAGAGCTAACATCTCCATATCCCACACCAAACAACTCGCTGAGCTCTGATCGAATCATGTATGTTCAGCTTGCGTTACCATCATCAGAGTCCGTCTCCTTACAACATCTTCATATTTCTCTCCTACTTCTCACATCCCCATACCAGACTTCAAATCTATTTTTTAAAGACTTCGTATAGTTTTTTCCAATCATGGACTTCCATAGGAATAAGCTCAAAAATATGGTGTAAAACATCATTATAATAGCATAGCGCCCACATTAAATTGCAGTGGTTAGCTACTAAATTTCCGTATAGTACTAAAATGTTGTATAAAGCAAAGTACACTAAAAGAAAGTTTGTGTTTATCCTTACCAAGTGTCTATTTTGGATTTGAAGAATATATATTTTGGATTCATTGTTAGCTAGAACACTACAATTTCCATGACATGATAGCAGTTTTACAGGAAGTATGAAGATAATGAGAACAGCATACTTGAGGGGCAAGGGTGTTTGTGCTTGATTTGGCAATCATTTACAAGATCTCTTTATACACACCAAAAAATTAACTAAACAAATACGAACAGTTACCTTTGTAGGTGCAACAACAGTAGGGAGACTTGAATGTGAAACATGAGTAAGCAACTAAGCATTGTTTCTCGAACTGAGATTTGTCCTTGTTCAGTTATCGTTGACAAAGAAGGTGCTAGTTGTATCTGTGGGGCTAAGCTGATAGAAAGAAAATATTAGTTTTGCTCTCGGACAGTAGAACACAGGTTCTTATCAACTACAATCAGAATAACATGTCAACTACATCAGGTGAAGATTAGGAGAGAGAAGTTCAGACTTCAGACTTGTGGAGGACGGAGACCTTCAGTATAACCGTGCGGACTAAGGGCAAGCCAGTAGGAAAACTATATATTACCGTAAAATTCTAATAAATCGCATCAGCAGAACACCCTAAACGGCCAGACTCCAATCGCAGATCAGACAAACAATCACCGAACTGAAGCACAAATCCTGACTCGTACAGCGACTCAAACCATGGAAATTCTAATGTTCCACTCTGCCCGCGGGCTCGTAAGAGAGGAGATCGGGATCACGGGAGGGAGGGGAAGGGGAGTCTGAGATGCGAAAGGAGACGTACGGACCTGCGCCTTGTCGGCGAGCTTGAGCGCGAGCCTAGAGATGGGGAGCGACGCCTCATAGACGAAGGAGTGGTTGATGCACTCGTTGCGGAGGAAGCACGAGAGGACGCGTCCGTCGACGGTGAGGCCGGCGAGCGCGACCCCGGCGTGCTCAGCGATGCGGAACACCTTCCGCTGGTAGTAGGAGAGCTCGGAGGCGGGCTTGTTGACGGCGGCGAGGACGGCGTGGGTGCGGGAGCAGAGCCCGACGCAGGCGGATCCCTGCTTGACGGCCTCCATGGCGTACTCCACCTGGAACAGCGCCCCTGGGGGCTCCATGTGGTAACGTCGGTGTCGTACTGGTTGCGGAACATCTTTGAGGCTCCCTTCTTCCTCCGTCAACCTGCTCGATTCGAGGATCCCCGAGTGCACTGGCCGGCGGGCGAGTGTAGGTAGGGTTTGGGGATCTCTTGGGCTCGCGTGAGATTTTGGTGGCAGCGGCGAGGGCATCGGGCTTCTTCTGAATGAAGGGGGGAACGAAAAAGCAAGAGAAGGCACCGGTGTCTACGCGCATGGGTGGGGTGGAGCGGTTAAGTGGGGAGACGGGGGGTGGGAGATCTAAAGAATATTGGCCGTCGGATGTGGTTGAGTAAGGAGAGAGAATGAGTGAGAATTAATTTAGTGCGTACGTTTTTAATGTTATCTTTTTCTGTGTGCGTTTTGTGGGGTGAACGTAGTTTAGGTCGTGACCGTAGAGGTGAAATTTGTTTGGTGACTGTAGGATAATTTGAAGTGGTGTATTATAGGGGTAAAGATGCTGTATACCAAAATTGATAGCTCCTTCCTCCACGTCAGCTTCCAATTCCAACCCGTCTGGTCCGCCAGCCAGCCAATATCATACGTCTGATTCTCCTCCCTGATGCCCTTATCTCGAACCTTCGGCGCCAACCGCAGCCATGGAAAAAAAAGAAACCGCAGACCGTCCTCCTCGCCACGTCCTCACCACCGCCGCCGCCCGCCGCGCCATTTCACGCCTTCCTCCTCTTTCCACATCCAACATCCGCCCGTCCCTCAGGCTAGCGCTGCTCACCTCAGAGAACGACTGACCCAACGGCCACCATATGACGGCCACCCTACCTCCCCTTAGGGGCATAACACCTCGCCAATCGCCAGTACCGACCACGACAGGCAATGCGGCGGCGTCGAGAGCCGGCAATACCGAGGTCCACCTCCGTGCTCGGCGCTCGCATCCACGACTCTGGTGACCTGCGTTGCTGTTCTAGACCGCCGTGCCTTTTTCTTATTTTTAACACCTTTTTAAACTATTTTTAAAACTGACACTGTTTTTTTTTCAAAACTAACACTTTTGTACGTGCCAACAGACATGGCGCGACCAAACCACTCTACCACGCCATGCATGGCGGCGCGGCCAGGCTGCCACCGTGGCACCGACCGGTGACGTGGCCCAGCTCTGTCGCGCCACAGATCATGGCGCGGCACCGATGCGCCATCACGCACGACGCGGCAGGCCCCAGTAAAGGCCCGCGACGCGGCTCTCTCTTCCCTTTCTCTATCTCTCTCACTCGGCCCCAGTAAAGGCACGCCCGCCACCCGCCGCCCGCCGACGCGCCCACAACCGCCCTCGCCGGCGCGCCACGCATGCAGCCGAGCCACTGCCATGCCTGCAACTGCCACCACCGCGCCACGCACGGCCGCCGCCCCATGCACGCCGCCACGCCACTGCCGTGCCCGCGACTGCCACCGCCCGCCGCGCCACACACGTCGTCGCCCACTGCCGCGCCACCACCCTCATTGTCACGCAACGCATGCCGCCGCGCCACCGCCCTCAGTGCGCCGCCCTCACTGCCGCGCCGCCGCTGTACACCGCTCTCCACTGTCGTGCCCCCTCCATCTATCTCGCGTCCACCCGCCACCACCGCCGCCGCCGAGGCTAGTGCCCATGCCTCCCCCCCGCAGCACCCGCCTCCCGGCCCGGTCTAGCGCGCCGCCCCCGCGAGAACGAGTGCACACTGCTGCCGCGAGGACGAGCGCCGCCACCACAAGGACAAGCGTACGCTACTGCCGCGAGTACTCTGCTTGTGTATTGATTGATTGAATCAAAATTGTTGTTACTTAGGGTTAAGATGCAAAATTAGTTTGAATGATTAGTTAGTATAGTTAGTACAATAAGTAAAGTTAATATAGTTTGTAAAGTATAGTTAGTAAAATTAGTTAGTTTAGTTAGTATAGGCAGTATAGTAAGTTAGTATAGTTAGTAAAGTTAGTTAGTTTAGTTAGTACAGTTAGTGAGTCTAGTTAGTTATTGTATTTAGTATAATTAGTTGTTGTAGTTAGTCTTGTGTAGGTGTTAATATTAGATTAGTTAGTATAGTTATAGTTAGAATAGGGATTAATATTACTATGGACAGTACGTACGATGATTTTGACGACTTGATAAAGTTTCTTGAAATGTTTTTGTAGATGGATTGTTGTGTTAGAGTTTTTTACGGAGGAAGTGTTAGGAGAGAAGATGGTATGTTTGAGGATGTGGAAGAAGAATTGGAATGGTTTGATGAACCTCCTAGTTTCAATGACCTTTGTGTCCGTTTGAATGCAAAGTTTGACAGTGATTTCACACTAAAGGGGAGGTTTGATACTGGAAAGACTAGGGCACACTATGTCCTAATGCCCTTGCGCGACCCTACTCACTGGTCCCTCTACAATAGGGTGCTCCAAGGTTCCAATGTGCCCATGGCTGAGGTGGTGGTGGAGAATGAGTACAAGATGTAGGGTGTCTTGGACGGGCCGTCCATTGACAGTGTTGGAGGCAATGAGCAAGAATTGGGGGTCGAAGGGGAAGCAACTCAGGGTAACATGGATTTGGACGGCTAGTTGACGCAGGAGCATTTTCATTCAAGTCAATTAGGCTGTATAAGCAATGACTTTGATGTGAACGGGTTCGAACTGGAAGAGGAGCAGGAGGAGGAGGACAGGATTGGTGATGTAGTTAGCAGTGATTCGGACGAGTGGCTTTTTAATGGACCACTAATTTTCTTCCATGTGGTCGAGATGCACTACCCTATAAGGGTGTATAGGTAGTTTGGAAGATTGCAGCCATGCCCACCGCCGCTGTACACAACCAACAGAAAGTTACACGGGTGCAACAACTAAAACATAATAATTTAGCAGTCATGTGCATACATATAACCACTAACTTACATTAAACTTGTAGGTACGATTGAAGGAACAGGTACAAGGAGAAGAATTGGGCCGTGATGCACGCCATGTTCATCCACGACTGGGACAGTCGGCAAAGGGTCACATCCGAAGAGGCAGCGATGTCGGCGGTACCCATATACTCCTAGGTCGTAGGAGTTCTTTAGGATGACATGTCCAGTAATGTTGAACTTATGTATTGATGAACTTTTGTCGTAGTTATGACTTGTTGAACTTATGCCGAACAGAGGTATTGTCGAACTTGCGATGAACTTGGGATGTGTATAAGTTAGTATTGTCTCGTGCACTTAACCTTCCTGTTGACCTATTCATTAAACCGACACGACGAAATAACTTGACTCATATAATAACATAACATAAGTGCCTTGTTTCATTTGCTACCGCTTTGACCGCCGCGCCATGTCTGGGGGCACCAAACTAAATGGAATATGCGTGATAGTGTTTGTTACATGGGTACAATACATAAATAGTTCAAATGAAACACAATGCAGCACCGAGAAAGTTCTACTACAATACAAATACCAAATCTAAAACATTGAACTAGCACACATGTACCAATCCTCAGTCTAAAACATACTGAGTAAGCAACTCATAATTCGAGTACCAATCCTCTACCACAACCTCGTTGCTGTGGCTAGGCTCACCTACATTGCCCTGATCTACCTATCGTCTGTAGTAAGCTGCCTCTGCTTCACCTGCGGCCTCTGCGGCCTGAGTCAAGAACGCATCCTCCTCTGTCTGGCTCATGTGGCTAGGCTCACTTGCATTGCCTTGATCTATCTATCGCCTGTAGTAAGCGGCTTCTGGTTCATCTACGGCCTCTGCGGCCTGAGTGAAGAACGCATCGTCATCTTCCTCCGCCTGCAAGCCCGTCTCTGCTAGAGCGATGAGCTCGCTCAGTCTACCAGTGTCGTCCTCAACCTCCTCCTCCTACAAGCCTGCCTCAGCAAGAGCAATGAGATCGCTCAACTAGGCAGTGTCGTCCTCATCCTCGTCCCCATCATCGGCCAACACAATCGGAGATTGGACGGTGTGACCAGCTCGCGTTCTGTGCTCATCTAACTTATTTTCCTCATATCTTGCACGGGCCACCTCTGCGGCATGGTCCTCACTGTATCCAATCCCTTCATGTATAAAATGCAACCAGTTAGCAACGCGATTATATTACATTTAAAATCAGGCAACGAAAATAAAAAGGATTTCAACCACTCATTGGCACACAATGCAACAACATGGTCATTCAAGACCTACATCTGTACTGAAAGGACCTAGGACGCCACCTAGAGGGGGGGGGGTAAATAGGCGTTTCTGAAAATTAACACCTTTAAATGCGGAAACAATTAGAAAAGAGAGTTTCCAAAATGGAAACTCCAAATTAAGAGTAATACCACTCCTCACAAGTTAGCCACAGAGTAAACAAGATATAAAGAATATATCTAGAAGCTACAACCCTGCAACACAAAGTTAGAACAGAAATCAAATAATATTTAGCCCTGAGCTCTAATACCGACGTGTCTAGTATGAATACCGGACGTGTCCGGTATACGCGATTTCTACAGATCAGCCCTGAACTTGCTCCTTTCGATTTCTATCTTCAAACCAAACTGTAGGCACCTACTAGAGATGACAATATACACAGAGAACCTGCACAAGAGCTGGAGCAACACAAATATCAAATGAAATGCGAATTGAGACACGATATTTGTTTTACCGAAGTTTGGACTCGTTCGAGTCCTACTCTCCGTTGAGGGGGCTGCGGGCGACCTAGTGAAGGTCAGCCCTTGAGGGTACCACAAAGGTCACTCTAGCCGGAGTCTTTTCCAACTCCTTTTCCTCCTTCCACTAGTTGATTCCGAGGCGGTGGAATTGACCGCTACAAACTTTCTGAGGCACACCACAATCTCTCAGGTGCTCTTCGGCAACGCCTAGCGGTCTAGGACCGAAGAGTCTAAGAGTAACAAATGCAAATCACGAGATTGACAATATGCACAAGTGCTCAAGTGGTTGGATTGCTCTCTCTTTGAATTTTGCTCAACCCACAATTTGATTTGGCAAATTTGATCAATCACTCACTAAGAGAGGGTTGGGAGAGTTGGCAAGGCTAAAAAACATCTATAGCAACCAGCAGAATCAGCAGCCTCCAAAGGTGGAGGCTTGGGGGTATTTATATCCCCCTTGGAAAAACTAGCCATTTTGGTATGACTTACACTGCCCCAACGGTAACTAAGTTATAGTGACAATGTGAGGCGTTGGAACTCCCGATGAATGCCGGA